TCTTCACCACTCAGATGTCGGGACTAGTGGCTTGCTTTGACTATGGAAATGGGAGCGGAAGTTGTATGTATGTGCTACAGGCAGAAACTTTAAGGGTCCCTTCATTCTTCATCCTTCTCTCTTTTCCCTCTGCATAATAATAAACGAGGTCCCTTATACAATCTGTGTGGGAAGGCTGTGTCCCAGAGATTTTTTTTATTTTTTAAGAGTCAAATCCTACTCCCTACCCCATGGCATGGAGCAAAAGACGTAGTATTTGTTACTATCAGTCATTGAGGTCTGAGGGGCTTGTACTGGAGCAGAACCCCATCTCCCGGGACTGGTAGAGCTATCTCATTTCCTCACTCTATTCCTGCTCTCTAGCTCTTGTTATCATAGCTTTAGCTCCCACCTATATATTAATTATTTCCCCAGAAAATCTGCATCTCCACCAGGAACAGTCACCTAATCACTACATGCATTTCCTATCTGCCTCCTGAACAATTTCATCTGGGTGTGTCTCAGTCAATTGATAATCATGACCGAAACTAAATTTTTTTTTCTTTTAAAAATATCATCTCCTTTCCCTTCCTCCAGAATTACTCATCTGTGAGAATCGTCCTTACCTGCTGTTTCTCTCAACCCCACTCCCTATCCAATTGATTGCCAAGTTTTCTCAGTTCTGTGACCCAAAATGCTACTTAATTTATTCCATTCTCTTTATCTCATTGCCAAAGTTCTGGTTTAGACACTCATAATTTATCTCCTAGTATTTAAAAATAACCCATACTCTACTTCCAATCTTGCACGATTTCAATTTATTCTCCAAATTTTCACCAGCACCATCTTTCTAAAATTCAAATAAAATTCAAATTGTATCACTTCACTGCCTGGAATGCACCAGTGGTAGCCCCAGCACTCTGCAGAGTCCAAACCCTTAGCACACAGCATTTGAGACTCTTCATGATCTGACTCCGAGCCACCTTTTTAGTTTTATCCACAGATACACCCCCACATTCATCTTCCAGTTTAGCCAACTTCTTCTGAAGGTACCATATTCTTTAAAACCTGTTACTTGTCATGTTTTTGTTTATGAATGTTGCTTCGCTCCCAACACCAGGCTGGCTAACTCTCCTCATCTCTGTGAGCCAAAGTCACAACTCTAGGGGTCACCAAAAGCAGGAAGCAGACAGAAGTGAGCCCTCGTGGACCCTATTCAATTCATGGATCTCATGTAAGAAAAAAACATAGTCAGAGGAATACAAATAAAACTGAAGCCTAGTAAGTCATAAAAACAAACGAGATACAGGATCTTTAAAGCAAGGACTCATCAAAAATATGAAGTGAAAAAACCCAGTTGTATAAGAATGAAAAATGTTCTGTTGGATTAGCTATTAGAGTAGTGGGTACAGAAGCCAGTTTGCAGTAGGTTAAAAAGTAAATGGAAGGTGAGGCTTGGAAATTCTAAGTGCAAACAACTCCCCTAACAAAGTGTGGCGCCTTCAGGATGGAGAGACATGGTCAAAGACCTAGAGAAACACAACAGAAGGAGAGAAATTTCCTTAGGAGAGGGTATCAGAGGAGGATTTGGAGACAGATTAGTTAGAGCTGCAAGAGGGAAATTAGAGTCAAAGGGACCCTAATTTTTTTAGACCCACCCTCCCTCACTAAGGGTGGCTCTCAGACACTGGAATTTAGAAAGACGTGGAGTCGCTGAGAAACAGATATGGTTTTGCCAATGTAAGAGGAGAAGTGAAGGAGACAAGTTTATGTTTATTCATGTCCAGTTTATAGTGAGAGTAGCACCACGAAGTAGAAATATCCGACAGGACAGAAAATACTGTGCCATAGTAGATGAAAGGTCATTGCTGACCTTTTGTAAATCACATCTTTTGATTTCCTAAGAAAACAAGACTGAGAAACTATCAGATTCTTCTTAGAGTGATGAAGAGTTGCACTTACCACATTTCAACCTATACTTCAAAACAGCATTTTGAATTTGACTTCACCAAGAATCTTGACAAAAACCATCTGACAACATAAAATGAATTTTCTAACTTAAAAAGAGGAAATGATATACAAAATCATATTTGAATGGTGTGAAGAGCTGGACATCGTATAAATCAAGCATCATATACACACACATAGCCACAAATAAATCCTTGAAGGAAACAGGTAGAGAAAGGCAGAGAGGAGATGGAGTTTTTTTTTTTTTTTTGCTGGAAAACAGCCATATTTGGGGGTGTAGAATGAGCTTTCCTTACTGGAGTCACCTGACTACTTTGAAATTAATTTCCCTTTGCTAAACTGACAACAAATCAAGATCCCATCCCCAATACGTACAGGGTATCCTTGAAAATCAGTTAGATGTTGCTTATAAAGCACATGTCACCTTAGCAAAAGTCATTCTCTAGCTATAAATTATGAATCTATATATGAACATAGAAAAATAAAACTGAATGCTGGGTATAATACATTGCATTGGAAGAATATTATTTCCAAGAGCTCAACATTGTTTCTAATCAAAGCTATCTTTCCTTAAACCCAATTTCTAGAGATTCTGTAGGTTTCTTCTGCCTAAGAAATATTTAAAACTCTGTCGACACAACACCTCTTGCCTGGGACTTTGAGATTGGATCATGCGTTGTTACAAATACTTAGGTTTGGTGTCGTAATGTCTTGGAGATACCTTATTTTATTGAATTTTTCTATGTAATTTGGACTTTATTTTCTCAGAGATGTGATAAAACTACGTGGAGAGCTACATAGTCCATTACTCTTGCAATACTTCTGCATATATTGTCATTGAAAACGAAATAGGTCTGTGTTTACAACATCAAAAATCCCTAAGATATATGAATGTTTAAAGGATTTCCACAATCGAGTGGCTCCCAAATTCTTATAGCATTTTCATTTCCTTTTTCATCACTGATTTCTATTAGAAAAACATACGTGTTCCTACCATTAGGGGAAAAAAAAGTAAAACAACGTTTTTTACGCTCTGATTAATGTTGACATTTCAAACATTGCGCAAAGGCACTGCTTCTGATGTTTTAACTTCTAGTTTTCATAGCCCTTTACAAGTCTGATTTTTCCTTTTTCATGCTGCATCACTTTAATTTATTCTTGTTACTAAGCCCCATAAACAGATGAAACAGCTCTGGACTTGCAGACACCATTTGACCAATTACTAGTTGGCAGAGAGGGGAAGCATTTACAGCTCTCTGGCAGCCTGTGTGAAATGCACCAGTCACCTCCGTGTAGAATGGGGGGTAAGGGTCCAAATCAAGAAAATACACCATTACAATTGCTACTAAGTCTCAGGGGAATTTAGCTTGAATCAGAAAGTTCTGGTTCATTGTCTTTTATCACTTACAGTCACAACACGGTGCTCAATTATTTTTGTTAATATCTTCAGCTATGCCATCACACAATGTCTTTTTATCTTTTGTGAAAATTATCTAGTTCTTGCAATAATTAACACAGATAGAGACCAGACAGCTATTTTAAGATGAGCATTTTAATGCTTAGGTCAACTAAGTAGAGCATGTTAAAGATCAGAGAGTCTTTTTTAGATACTGACTCAAGAAAAATAATGAAGAGTATAAAATGGTGAAAAAAGTTATTAACTGACATTAAAAAAAGTAGTAAAACTCAGAAAACCATTCCAGATGCAGAATCCTCTCGACAATGTTATATAGATAAACTAAGTTCAAAGTTGTCTAGCTTGCTTTTGTATTTTTCTGCCCAATTAAAACACAGCCCGGACAGGTGGACACCCAGGAAGGCCACTCATTCGGCACCCAAAGCAACATTCCCCAACCACTTATACTCGGGCCCGAGCAAAGTCTCAGAGCCGTATGGAGGAAGGCCAAAAATGTAACAGCTACTTATGAATTTAGAGATTGAAGGCAAATGCCTAAATAATTCATTAAAGACAGGCAAAAAAATGTTATCTTCCTGTATCAAGATCAATTTAAAATAACCATGTAAATAATTTATGTAAATTATCACAATATTGCACTGTATTTTGTATAGTTAAACACAATGCTTCGTGGTACTTTGCATTTATGTGACTTCTCTATGACTAATTTCTCAGAGAAGCCTTTTCTAATGACACAATTTTTAAAGGAACAGTAGCCCCTCTCCATGGAGAGATTAGTTCACTCCCTACTCCCTTTAGTTTTTCCCTTTACCTGAAATAACATCTGTGCATTTGTCAGCTTGGTTCCTTTCTGCTCCTCTCCCCCGATAATGTAAGCTCCTGGGATAGAGAGGACACCTGCTTTATCCGTCCCTGTGTCCCGGCCCCTAGAACAAGGTCAGCCACACAGATGCTCACGTGCTTCCCGGATGAGTAACAGCTGGCTACTTTCATATACATTTACATTTCAGTCAGAATTTTTTAAAGGTATGCTTTTCAACTGAATTGGAAAACCTTATTTTATCTCCTCCCCAAACCGATTTCAGTCATTATAACAATCATAACAATAAAAAAAAAAGAGGAAAAGTGCACAAATGTATCAGTAGAACATTCCTTCTACGTTTAGTCTTTCACGTCTGAGCTGACCCACCTGTCTGGTGAATGAGGCACATGACATCTGCTTTTGCCCTGCATTTGTGGGTGTGGGGTCAAAGTTACTGTCTCACACTGGCACCATTTGAAAGGGTGTCTTCCCCAACACTTGATATTATCTTAAAACGTTAAGCCAGAATTACTGTGGTGACTGTTTTCACAGCAGCAATATAAAAGAATGAAAACATCGGTGTTAATGAAACCTTACCTTGATCTCCTCAGGAGTTAGTCACGTCCAGGTCTCCAAATCTGCACTGCTGGTGTGTGGGGGGGACTTACCTTAGTGTCTTTCTTCACTTTAAATCAAAGTTAGTATTAGAAACATTTGTCAAATACCCAATTGAAGCCATGAATATAGTTCAGTCAAAAAAAATTACATTAAGGATCGATATCATTTATGTCCACTTAACATTTAAATTCCCAAAAAAGGAATCAGAAGTTTTACCTTCAGGAAAGCTTCTGGGAAGTCCTGGGCCTCCTAGGGAATGCTCACCTTCCTAGGGGAAAGAAGAAATCAAAGGCTCACACAGGGAAGGGAAGGCAGAAGGGAGGGCAGCAATTAGTCCGCTGCTCTAGAACCAGTCACAAAGCACACACAGATGGAGATGCTCCCTGCCTCCTGAGGGCGATGTCACAGAAGGCCCTGATCCCAAACCCCGCCTCAGTACTCCTTATCTGTTGGTATTATTTCCAATGCTGTTAGCTCAAGTCTCTGTTCCCTGTTGATACAAGTGAATACCTGGAGAAATTGTAACTTGAATTTGACTGGTTAACCTTATTCAGGGAAGAGGGAGCAATAAACAAGAAAAACTGGGAGGGCTGAGTAAAAAGCACAGTGGCTGGTAAGACTTAAAAGACCACTTCGTATATTCACACGGTGTTAACTTTTACTCTCCTCTCTTTCCTTTCTCTGAAGTCAAGCAGTGAAGAAACTGCTAGGCATGCTTTTGGCTTTTCCATTTCTTTCGTTCTCTACAACATGCAGATCTGTTTTAAATGTGATGGATCCAAGAATTTCACTGCAAATAAAAATTGCGTACAATGACAGTGTGCAGAGCCTTCAACAGTTTCTGGAACTTGCAACAAAATGCCACTGAATTTTACCTAGCATATTGTTATTTGAAATAGATTGTTTCTCTGTCCCCTCCACCATAAAAAAAAAAAAGTTTTTATCATTCCAAAAGCCAGTATTATGTCTAAACTAACCAGTCATGAAAATATAACTTCATGAATGGGCTTTAGCTTTTATCTCAACAATAGCAAAGTATCAGCAATATAGCAAATAAGGAACTGAACTTTTGAGGGTTATCTTATGGGATTCCTGACTCTATCATGTAATATTTTTAAAATAGAGAGTTGTACAAAGGAAAAAAAAAGTAATAGGCTAGACCAAGATAGACACACAGAGACAGAGATACAGAAACAGACATGCAGAGACAGACAGATGGAGACAGAGAAAGAATGAATCAGGTCTAATCATAAACAAAAGTTCAAAATAGTTTAATTTTTTCCTTTGGCATCTGTAACCTCCTTCCAAAGCTCTCTGATTCTTTCTGTCCTTCCTCTTGCTCCATTCCCCTCTACCTAGCCCCCTGGAGTTACTCTCTACAACACATCTTCCAGAGAAACATTAGGAGAAAATGGAACTAGGATTTTAGTAGATACTCTAAGCTAGGTGGGTTCTGTATGCTATCTCAGGTAATTACAAATTTCTGGTTAAGTGTCATCATACCCATTTCACAGATAAGTAAGCTGAGATTTCATACTATGTTCACTGTTACCCAGCTTGTAAGTGGGAGATCTGGATTGAGGTCCTGTCTTATTCAACCTTAAACCCCGTCGTTTCAGCCCAGTGCACTGTCTCTTCCTCTGCCTCTTTATCCAGAAGTACTTTCACTTGGCCAGCAATTGGACTGAATTAACTAGTTCCACCAGAGCCTGAATAATGAGTGAGACTTACTATGCTTTCCCTCCAAGGAGCGCATGTATTTACACAGAAGAAAACATCCCTGATTAATGAAGGATTTCCTAAGGTAAAATTTCTGGCCTAAGCAGCACTTTCCTGGCAGAGTGGCACTAGGACTGAATGCTCCGGCTGCTTCATTCAGCAAGTCATAGCTCTCAAATAGTCAAATATATTTAGTCCGAACAGACAACTTGGCACCGTGCTACACAGTATATTTTGGGGGGATTGATATTGGCAGGCTTTGAAGCAGTTGCTATAACATTTGGGAGAACAGTGTTTGTGGAGGGAATTTGGTTCAGTTCTTAATAAATGCGTTTGTTATGTTTCTAATTTTCTTTCTGTACCCTTCAAATGCTGTTGCTTCCAAGGCTTAAAACGAGATAACCTCAGTTTGATGTTGTTAGTGTCTCTCATCTCCTGAAGGATTTCCAGAGAGAGAGGAGCAACCTGTATTCTCAGCAGTAACAGGCTTTTCCGAAGATATTAATGCATCACTTTCTAGGGGCTTTGAACTGTTTTAGTCACGCAACAGGGAATGATAAATGAACCTCGCTTTGTAGCTACTTCTTCAGCCACAAATGGTGTTAATACCAGCATCTTACTGGGCAGCTGTCTAGAGTAATTAGCTTCACATACACCAAGCAGTCTAAGTTAAGGGTCAACTTCCAAAGCCAGAGTTCCTGACCTTGAATCCCCCTCTGTTAACTCATAGCTGTGTGGACTACATTAACACACTTTGCTTTTCTTTAGGCTTCTACTGCATTAGAAGGGAATAATTACAGCACCCACCTAATGATTCCTGATTAAATGAGCAATGTATATTAAGTGTATAAAAGAGTGCCTGACATATTCTGTTATTATAGATGAAATGTCTTCGCAATTCACTTAAGACTTCTGAAATGTGCTGTTACTGTGTTGCATCGCGTGCTGCAAGAGGTTCAGTGTCGTCATATTCTTCAGAACAAAAGTGTAAGAAGAACTCTGAGGCTGGTGGAACAGAAAGGGAGCCCTGCTGGCTTCCTGGAACTACCAAGTCAACCCTTTATTTTCTAAATCTGAACCTTTTGTTATGTGAAAATCAAATTAAATACTGTACTTGATTAAACTGAATTTTACCTGCCACTGAACTTAATCCTAAATGATACATGCAGTCTCTCCACAAAATCTTTCTTTAGAATGGAGACAAAGGAAGGTAAGTTTTCCCTCTACTTTTTGTTCCTTCCTTTTTCTTTGTTTTATTGAGATGTAATTGGCATACACCACTGTGTAAGTTTAAGATGTACAGCATAATGGTTTCACATTCTCCTGAAATGATAACCGCAAGTTTAGTGAACATCCATCTTGTATATACACAAAATTAAATAAAGAGAGGAAAAAAAAATCTTTCCTTGTGATGGGGGCTCTTAGGATTTACTCTCATACATAATATACAAGAAATGCTAATTATATTTAACATGTTATGTATTACATCCATAGTACTTAATTTTTCTCACTCTACTTTTTTTTAATTCAAGTATAGTCAGTTGGCAATTCTGTGTCAATTTCAGTCATACATATACATACATATATTCCATTTTATATTATTTTTCATTATAGGTTACTACAAGGTATTACATATAGTTTCCTGTGGTATACAGTATAAACTTGTTGCTTATCTATTTTATATAGTAGTTCTTCTAATTAATGACCTAGTTCTGAAATCCAGGCCTGTTGACTCTCCATGTCATGAAAGATTTCCCAATATATGAAAAAGCTTATAGGAGAGAACTGGGAAGAGATTTATTTCTTCAAACATACACACTCAGAAGAGCCAGTAGAAACTACTAGAGTTTAACACCTTGAACTACAGACATTTACATTACATTAAAGTACTTCATTGTATTAAGAGCAGCTAGGATTTGGAGTTGAAAGGAACTAGCAGGGGGCTAACAATACTAAAAAGTCAAATATGTGTCTTCCTGAGATAATCCCCCATTAAAACAATCATAAAGGAATAGCTCTACCAGATATCAATATTATAAATCCACCGTAATTAGAATTGTGTGGCGTTAGCATGTGAATAAGCAAACTACTCAGAGAGACTTAAGAGAATAAAACTTAAATGCCCCACCCCCAAAAAAGGGAGGGGGGAATACGTGAAGTGATGGATATATTAATTAAATTGATGGGGGAATACTTTCACAATGAATACGGATATCAAATATTACTTTTTACACTCTAAATATCTTATAATTTTTATTTGATTAAAATTAAATTGATCCAACTTTGTATGTAAATTTAGTATACAAAGATGTAATTAATATTACAGTCATGAAGTAATGAAGATCCTTCCCTTATACCATTCAGAAGCATTAATTCCAAAGAGATCAGAAATTTAAGTAGCAAAAAGGAAACTATAAATATTAGATAAAAACATGGGTGAATTCCTCTACAACTTCAGCAACAGGAAATTTCCCTAATGACTCAAATCCAAATGCACAAAAGAAAAAGACTGTTCAATCTGAAAAATAGATCATGTAAAAATAAAAATGTTTCACATCAAAAAAATCCCCACCATAGTGGTGCAGGAAACAAAACACCATAGTTACACAGTAATATATGTCCAACTGATAGACAAAATACTAAAGTCATTAAAATAAAGAAAAACTGGCAAGGTGTAAGAATGGATAGTTCACAGATAAGGAAACGTAAGTGTCCCTTAACCACAGGAGAAGATACTCAACCTGATTCATCCTAAGTGAATGCAAATTAAAACTAAATTGAGTTTCCATTTCTCACTGACAGGTTAGAAAATATCAAAACTTTTGACATTATACTTTATTGACACGGTTGGGTAAAAACTGTCATTCTCAAGTATTGCTAATAGGAATGCAAAATAGTAGAACCCATGTGATAAAGAATCGGATGACTCAACACCTGGCAAAATGACATAAGAATCTGAAACCAAGGGTAGTCATCATTTTGCATTAATACGTAATAAACTAAGCTGCCTTCGCTGCTCAAGCTTGCTTTAATTGTTTCTACAAAAACTTGCATGTCCCCCAAACGTCACCTAGCCTCAACAATAAGATGTTTGCCCAAGTTGTTTTTTTAAAAACTTGGACTCAGCTACATCCAGTTCCAGCACCAGCCAGTCAGGACTGGTTAGCACCACAGATCATCCAACTGGACACATGTCCATTCAGTGAGCTTCTGATGTCAGAGGGCCATAAAACCCCACCCTAAGAACATGCTAACTCCATCATTTTCTGAACACATGTCCCATAAAGAAGCCTGTAGCTAAGTCACGCCAGCACAGAACGACAAATTCCCTCCCTTTTTCTGACCTCCAACTATCTTTCCCTGGCTCCCCAAGCTTCAGCTGCATCCCGTCTACACCCCGAGCCCCGCCCCTCTGTGGAGGTGGAATTGGTATTTCTTCTCCTGTTTCCTCACGTGACTTGCCTTGTGAATAAACCACCTTCCGCGGCAGACCTCGACATCTCAAAGCGTGGCTCGCCGCACACGGGGCAAACGAACCCAAACACACTG